TGCTGACTGCGGTGGACAGATGAGTAAGCATCCTTGTTCACAAGGGGAAGGTTGATATCATCTACCGAGATTTCTCAAAAGCTTTCGATAAGGTTAATCGGGTGATCTTATCCGCAACGCAACCATGTAAACTTAATGTACCGGTCATCCGTGCGTTCAAGTAACCACAGATTTTGACATTTCATAATGTATTTTTAATTAAATAACTAGATTATATAGCTAATTTTGATCTTTTTTTATATTTTTATTCGCCACGTTCGACTGCGTTACACTGCACGTCCATTGCATACTGGGATGATATCTCAAGTCATAGTGAGTTTATTCACATAGTTGATTGTTTCCAGATAGACTGTCAGTGCATGATTTTACTGTAGAAAGGTTTATTGTACTATAAACTATGTTTTTATGAACAACTGCTTGTTGTCGTCAGTCGGAAAGCAATATATATATTCTTTGTCTTCTGTTCGGTAAGTTCAATTGGCCTATATTTCGTGTTTTTGTTTTATCGTCTTAATTATGTCCATTTAACTACTTTAAGCAATATGCCTGTGCAAATGAAACAATAACTATGACACTTGCTTAGTTTAGTATTCTTGGTTGTCGTATAATTCAGTTTAGTTGAAAGAATTATGGTATACTTAAGTATAGTGCTTGAAGTCTGTAACGAAACAGATCAGCCTAGTAAGTAGAGTTGCCTGTTTCTGATGAGTATACTGATTCAAATCAGTCTGATTAAAAATAGGAAAAAAGTGCTTTTGATACTGTTGCTGTCATACATTATAAGATAGCGATAAGTATGTTTGGTGTTTATTTCTAGATTGTACATCTATCACTGACCATATTTCATGATCACTGTCATTAAACAATTTCCCCAGCAATAACATCGGTAGCAGGATAGCTAAGTATCTGAGCTTTTATTTGCCCGTAGAAGAGCAGTATACAGTCTTAGAAGATGAGTGTTCTGTATTTCAATTAAATGCAGTTGGCTGTGGACAAATGTTAAGAATCTTTTTGACAACTAGGTCTTTTAGTTCATCAAACACTAACTCTGCTTGTATGTCTCCCTGTTAAACTAGATGCAGATACATGGTAATACTTAAATGAGAGCAAAATAATAAAAGCATTGAGATACGGTATTAAGTCCATGTTATGCTTTGCACAATAAATAGCTGACCTGACCTAATATTCATGAACTAAAGGTAAATCACAACTGCATAAATTCTTTGCTAAAATACATGTAATTTGGTTATTTATCTATTCCACATTTCTGACTAAATTCATTACTGTTTTCTCATTTACAATGCAACAGGACTGAGTCTTCACAGATGTTAAGAACTGTTTCGCCCTTAGAACTATGGCCCTATGGATCTGTTTACGGGAGACCCAACTAACACCAGATCATAAAAAGAATGCTGGATGTCCATTTTAATCTCACAACCACTTCCAGTACTTTTTGAGTTACTTCTTTTACCCTTTCGTTTGGAAAAAACAACAAAAACTGCAGCTTAACATTACAAATGCAACTTTTAGACTGGAACTTGGTTTAAACCTTTGTTTCTTATTCGATTCTTAATGAAAGTTCTCGAATAAATTTTTGAACCTAATGCTACTTTGTTTTATCTACTTAATCGTTGCAAGAAACTTGTGATAATCGAGCCTCTCATCACCTAATTCATGTGTTCAGGCTTCCGTGTCTATTAGCAGGGGATCACCAAAACCTCCAAGCAGGAACCTAGGTATGTTAACAATAAAAGATCCAGTCGCCTCCCAAATGACTCCTGGGAAGTCGCTTGGACTAGTTCGGCGGGCAGCGAATTCCAGCATTCGACAACTCTTAAGGAGTAGAAGTTGCGTCTACAGTCCATTCTGCTATGTCGTGTCTCTAGTTTCTGGGACTAAGCTCAAATAGGTGTTTAAGAAAATGTCCAGAAGTGTTAAGGATCCTGTAAGTAAATAGATCACCTCTAAGACGTCTATACTTTAATGAGTGGAGGTTAAGTGACTGGAGGCGCTCTTCATAAGGTGATTTGGTGCATATCTCCGTCACTTTCTTAGGAAACCTACAGGCTCGGGTCCTCTCACAACTTATTCTAGCCACCATGAGTTGCCACGAAAACTGATGGATGGACACGCGTTACACATCCTAACCGTCCCTGCATCTGATCTCATAGCTCCTTATTCAAATGTCATATGATAAGCAAGTAATGCTTCTACCGGCACTAATGGAACACGAGTAATTCAAAGGCACCCTGTATGGTACTTTACATTGGTCTACGCACTCACTTAGCTCTTTAGTGGGAATATTACTACAGTCCTGCTAAAAAACCCATGAACCCCCCTACCACCATCAAAACAATAAGTCTGTATTTGCTGCATATAGCAATTTTATTTTTCAGAAGATATAACAGTAAGAATTGGAGTAAAATAACAATATACAACAGATGCACGTGGTACATGTCTTCATCGATCATCTGAAATAGAGAATACGGATATTAGCTTAACATGCTTATTTAGAAAGACTAGTGTTTACTTTGAACTTACTGTGTGAGAAAGTTATACTGGAACTGTGAATAATGTAGGAATCTAGTCTCCCAGGGCGTACGAAGCACTCAAACTGGAAGACAGTTGTCACAAATTAATTCGAATATGAAGTTGAGAATTTGCAAGTACATTTCATCGTAAAGGTGAACATATTAGATAACGGTTGACATCATACCGTAAAAATAACAAATTTGCGAGTAGTGAATTATGGTCTATAAAAAGGTGAGCTTAATAACAGTTAGTTACATTTTTAATCCCTGATCATGACCCTTCGGCTTCCTTTTATGGCCGAAACAGCGAACATACACTACACACTGATAGCAGATTTCCGGCTTTTCAATGTTAAGCTTGCTTTAACGCACTACGTAATGCGTACAACCCCTCCATTACTGCTATGTGGCATATTTTTTCATAACAAACCCTCTGCAATAGATTGGTAGCATCTGTGGTTGTCGGAAGCCTGGGTACTTTCGAAAACAATACTGACATCCCCTACTGCTAGGCACTAAGTATTAGTTTGACTCGTTGGTGGGATATTGTTGTCCGCAATACTGAAGAAAATTAAAAACCGGAAATTGTTCCATTTCATTTTGCCGATAACATCATAAAGGACAGTTAGGAATGAACACGCGGACAGTTAGTTACAGGAGGCAGCAACAGTTATTTCAGCTAAGAAAAAACGAACTTCGGCTTTGGATATCTAGAAAACAAGTCAAAACAAAACCGATTTTCATTTTAAAACATAAGACTAACCAGCTTGACTGAAGAAATACATTGACTAGAGTAGAAGCAGCAAAAACCCAAAAAACAATGCTGATTCGAAGTAAATTTCACACCAACATGTAGAACATTACACTAACTGCGGCATCTTAGCACATTGAAACATTAATTACATAGCTACACAAAAGAAATAGCTAAAAGAAGCACAAAGCGAAGAAAGCCGACCGCCATTACGTACAAGATGGCTGATATAATAATTCCCGCCACATTCTGATTGGTTGCTAAGCTGAAGGGCACATTTACGAAATTGAGTTGCGTTTAATTGCAGCCAGGTTAATCATACATGTCTTATCAATAAGCTCAAACGATTGGGTATCAGACCATCTATAATCGATTGGCTCACTTCATACCTGAAAAATCGACATTTTAAGGTCAGGGTCAATTTCACTTTATCTCAGGCTATGGAATGTCCTAGTGGGGTCCCCCAGCGCTCAGTACTAGGACCTCTTCTCTTCTTGATCTACATAAATGATCTTCTTCGACAGGTAACGTCAGATTTATTACTTTTTGCTGACGACGTGAAACTTTGGAGAGAGCTGCGCAACCAAGACGATGTACAGGCACTCCAGGAGGATCTGACTCGACTTCAAAGTTGGGCAGACTTACCTTTAACACTTCAAAGTTTAAAGTAGTCCATCTGCGACATGTCGCAGACTACAATTATAACTTAGGTAACTCCTCTCTAGTAGTATTCCAATTCGAAAAAGATTTATGAGTCTTGGTGCCCTACGATTTAAAGTCTTACGCTAACTGTGACAAAAATGCCTTCCGAGCAAACCTTGCACTGGTAACATTGAAGTGCATTTTCGGCCAGTTTGACGGAAGAAATTTCCATATAATCTTTAATAGTTTTATCCGTTCTCATTTAGAGTATGGAAACATAGTAGTTCCCCCTCACTCCAAAAGGATAACGACACCCTGGAGCGTATTCAACGGCGAGCCACGAAATCAGTTCGAGGACTCAAATTTCAACCTTATGAAGAGCGCCTCCATTCACTTAACCTTTACCCATTAGAGTATTGACGTCTTAGAGGAGACCTTCTGATGGCTTATAGTATCCTTAACACTTCTGGACATCCTCTCAAACACCCACTCAAGCTTAGTTCCAACACTAACCAATGGGGTAACACCCGAAAATTGGAGACACAACATAGCAGAACGGAATGTAGACACAACTTCTACTCCTTAAGAGTTGTCAAATGCTGGAATTCTTTGCCAGCTGAGATAGTCCAGGCGTCTTTCAAGAGGCAACTTGATCTATTCTTAAGGACTAAGGATAGTATCGCACTATGATTTATCAATTTCTTTTCCTGTTTTCTTGTTAACCTGCCTAGGTTCCTGCCTGGAGGATTTGGTGGTCCCCTGCTACTGGACGCGAAAGCCTGTTAAGCGAAAGCTTCTTCTATTCTGTCCACAACCATTTGAACCATTTAATTGGGGTGAGTGGTATACAGGCTAAGCCTGTGGCGCTGAGATCTTGGATTCGCACCCCTGAAAAGTCAGACACTTCGACGTAAAAAACTCCCCATATTCCTCAGTTCTTTTTCAATTCATGTCGAACCGTGATTAAAACTACGAAAATCGAACAAATTTTACAACTGCCTTATATTATCAATAATAAACATTGGAATGAGGATGAATAACCTCGTTTCTTCGGAACGGTGACCTTGGTACGTTACGTAAATTCGTTTGTGGCTCTTTTGTACAGTCGGTTCGTGTAGGCTGGTTTACTTGTTTTAGAGTAAGAATTTCACATCTGATTGATTTTTACTATTCGTTAAGTTGCGAAATCTCAATCACTCAATGCAGTTAATGAGATTATTAACACTTGGATGGTGACTTAACACCTAAAATCCTCTATTTATTATATGTGCTTGAATTATGTTAGAGGGCTTTGGCCCAGTTACTCCATAATTTTTTAGACTCCAATGAATTCCACGTAGACAAGTGCGTTTTCGGTTCATAATCAAAAGGCTAAAAGATTCTTACCAATTTTTGCATATGATTAGTCTCTCGAATAGATCAACTATGGTAATAATCCATCCGATAGTTGGCCAGGCACTGAGAAAATCTGTGTGCCCGAAGGTATGCAACTGATAGATTTTTCTGTATTCTAATTAAAGTCTAGTTAGGGAAAACAGTTTAACTCGAGTTGAAATGTATTCCTTGGAATCCGTTACCAAAATTCGGCGAGACTAATTTAGGGACGACCTTTGAACGAATCTTAAATGACCTTGACAATTATTAGCCAATCAGAAGACAGTAACTATATAGTGAAAATATATTGTAAGTATGTAATGAATTACAGTGTATATTCTTCTTTTACACGATTTAAAAACTTGTTAAGGTTTGATAAAGGTTCACAGGTTCTCAATTCGTAATGCATATGTTATAGAAACTCGTCCATATGATTAGGGTTGTAGCATCTCAATAAACACCTCTTCTATAAAATCCGATGTAAACCGATCGCATGTTAGCAGCCTAACCCCTATTTTAGTCCTAAACCCTAACTCAATCCTAACCTTAACTCCAACCTAACCTTAACCCTAATCTTAAACCTAACCCTAACATTGTAAAGGTTTGATAAAGGTTCAGAGGTTCTGAATTCATAATGCATATGGCATAGAAACTCGTCCATACGATTAGGGTTTAGGTTAGGGTTGTAGCATCTCAATAAACCTAACCCTAACCTTAACCCTAACCCCAGCCTCTAACTCTAAACCCTAACCCTATGGACGAGTTTCTATACGATATGCATTATGAATTCAGAACTTCTGAGCCTTTATCAAACCTTAACAAGTTTTTAAATCAGGTAAAAGAAGAATATCTACTGTAATTCATTACTTTCTTGTTATATATTTTTACTTATTGTCTTCTGATTGGCTAATGATTGAAATTGCTCAAACGCTTCTGATTGGCTCGTCCCTAAATTAGAGTCTCGCCCAAAATTCAAATTGATCATTTTTTATCAACCCGAGCTTGAAACGTTTTAACCTTAGAAATTATGTGTAAACAGCAGTATGGTTCGGAAAGAAGTGATGAATTCGGAAAGTTAAAAGTACGAAATAGTATTGCAATTCAAAATCGAGCAATACATAATCTTTCAGTACATCTGCATCATCACACTCAAGGTCGTTAGCCTTTGATCACGGTTATAGTGCGAGTACAACGTGGTTGTCTGCACTTTTAGGCTGTGGTTTGCCATATACCTCAGGTTGTTGTGAGCGGAAACAGACCTATCTTGATTGTTCACCACATATTTGATAAGTAGTGATGATTGTTGATTTTCCTTCATTATGTTTATAAAACATGACTGCCTAAATAATTTTATTTCGTTGGAAGATAAAACGGTTTCTTTACTATCTATGGGCAATGCTGCATGTTGACTCAGGTTGTATTAATGCGAATATAGGGAATTTGCGTTGAAGATATTTTGAAACTTATATTTTAGGGAGGTGACTTACCGACAGCTATTAATGCAGAACACATTTGGTAGTTTTATAACCTGGTTTACTTATTTTTTGACAAGTTTTCGGTGTGGCGCATGTATATTGGTGCTCTGTTGTACCAATATTTGTGTCCAAATAAATTAATATAATAAATAGTTTTCGGACTTCATTTTTGTTGAAGTGGTGTTTCAACTCTTTTGTCTTGCTGATCTTCAGGGTCAGAGTTTGTGATTCAGTACATGGATCCTTTTCAAAAGCGAGATAAAATTCCACGGACACCACCTGGTCAATCTTTTGTGGACAGATCTTACATCTTTGATGGTACAACAAATGGTGACTGTTCTATTTACGACGAGTCGGGTAATCGGAGGACTTCTGTTTTTGATACAGCTAGAAAATACACTCTCACTTTTGATAACTGTGGGAACACAAGGTAGGTTTTTCAACGTTATGAATAACTGACTGATTGACTTTCTCCCTAATTATGATATTTATTCTTGATGATAAGTTTTTTGGTTGTATTTACTGTTTTAACCTTTTACTAATTGCCTTTCTCACCTTATAACTTAGCCTTCGAACTTCATGTGACATAGTTTCACTCGATATTTCTTTGTCACTGAAACCAAATAGAATTTCTAGAATCGGTGATTTGCGGACAAGTTCACATATGGCATCGTCTAGACAGTATGGATTGTTCACATCATCACCTGTTAATGAGTCTACTCCCCGTCCAACTAAATATCCCCAGGTGTGTGTTTTCTTTTATCGTGGTTCTTATATAATTTTTGTATTTAAACCTTAAATCCAACGGTTTATGGGTCTTTGAAACTAATAGGAATCTAATTGCAAAAGTACAAAGACGGAAACCTAAGAGAACATGTTCAGATTGTACTAAGTGCTTTATACTTAAATGAAAATATGAAAAAGAATGGTAAACAATGTAAATTAGCCATACAGATCATTTTTAATCATTTCTTTGTGAAAATTCATTTTAGAAGGAATGTAATGAACAAACAGTTGTTAATTACACATCTCCAGATAAGGAGAATATTTCACCATCAAAAGAAGTATGTCCAGAGATTGCTACGGTTAAAAAGTGCCATGCCAAGAGAAAACGTGAAATTTCAGCTGAAGGTTCAGTCGTTAATTCATCGGTTCAATCAACTTCTGCCGTTCCTTCGACAGTTCGGCAGCTTCGACCCAGACGCAAGGCAACTCCTATCGTCAGTGACCAGTCATTGTCTCATCAGTCTGAATGTTTAGTGATGACGAAAAGTGCCCAAAAGAATCCAAATATGAGGTCAACAAAAAGGTAAGATTTTGTATAACATGATCGTCACAAAGTCCAATAAAAATGTAAGTGATGTCTGCACAAATTTAGAAGAAATAACTAAGTAAGGGTGTCTAAGGCAAACGTGAAGTAAGTCCATGAAACCATTGGCTATTGAACTAAGCTATGCATATAGGTACATAATACCTAGTTGGGCTCCATGCGATTATTGTGACCAATGGTTAGAGACTGAGTGACTTGACTCAAAATCGTTCAAAATGGTCCTCATGTAGGTTCCAAGTCTTAATTATTCACTGCACGAATCCATATTTTCTTTTCGAACGATATCTTGCATGATTCATCTTTGTCACCTCTGTTAATGCTATTTCCGCACATACCATTGTCACATCTGTTTATGCTGTTGTGGTGTGCAAACTTGAACCGACGCACACATGTCCTATGTTATGTTCAGCTAACTAATTCATTCACCCTACATGTAAAATTTATTTTGTAAAGCTTATCATAAATACAACTGATCTGATTAAAGTAAAATAATTTGATATATTTGATCCGTTTAAGCAAACGAACTAATTCGTCTCATCTGTCTGAAGTAATGAATTCCCCAGTAGTCATTGCCGATCCTGTAACCCCTCCAACACTTGTTCCTCGACACAGGCGATTACAGCCGGCCAATACTCAGAGAAGACGACGTGCGAATGTTAGCACTTTGGATCACAGCAAAATGTCAACCTCTAATTCAACTGAAAATGACTCAATTATTCATCAGCCATCTACTGTTCGGGTATGTTGGTACCTTTTTAAAAAAACTATTTCTTTTTGCATATCGTACTTTAAGTCTCAGTATTGGTCAGATAGAATTAAAAATTAGTCACATCTTAAAGATTGTTTTGTAGTGATTCAGTAGTCTGAATCGGTTTCGAAGTATTTGTCTTGAGTTTCGAAATCAAGCATATTGCCTCCGTGAACTCAATAGAAACATGGATTTGTCAGTACTTTGAAAATTTGTTTTTCAGTGAGCATTTATTTAAAAAGATAGGAAATAACGAAGTATCAAAGTATTTATTTGATCAAATATTTCCCATAAAGATTCAATAGTCTCACTAATTTGCTATGATAATATTTCCTTTGTTATTTCATAGATCTTTCTCACTGTAGTATATTAGATCCAGTTATTGTCATGCATATGGTCTAACTGTACGCTTAAGTGATTTCAAATGATCACATCTAAAAATTTAAACATCTTGTTTATTTTATATTCTAGGCTGGTGTTGTTTGTAGAGGACGTTTCAACGGCTTTATTTTCAGTGCAGTCTTGTAAAAGCACTTACGGTATATTCAGGTCAGATAAACTAGCCAAAACCATTCCCATAGCCAATTGTTCCCGCTGTTCAAACTTTGGTTTAGGAAATCACATATCACAGTTATCAAACGAGTCAGCAATTTGCTATGCAATATATTCATGCTCTGAGAACATTTATAGATTACCAGTATTTCGTCGTATGTGAAACATTCTCGCGTATGTTAGAACATTCAGGTGAGCACTAATCAAGTTAGACGCAGGGTAATAAGCGATTCCATTGGTGTAGTTGTGGATCATCATCGACTGAGGTTATTGGGACATGTGTTACTCATACCCGATCATCGTCTGTCTCAATGTAATATCGGTTGATGTAGTAATAGGTTGGAGAAAAAGTGGGACCGGTCAAATCAAAACGTGACGTCAGTCCACAAAATAATTGACTGTTGTTCTAATTCTGGTTGAGGTCCACCCGATTACCACGATTGTTAATTAAGGACATGGAGTGATGTAGCTCAAAATCAGTTTGCATAGTGAAAATGGATTCAGTTTTCGCCTGTCTTTTGGTTATGGTTTTTAGAGTTTTCTTATAATTTTTACCTCGCCAATTCATAGCTAAAATGATAAAGCAGTCGTACTATAGTGAGGGGTATTAATCATATAAATGTGCGTGGCCATGTGACAGCATTTGAAGAAGGAGAGTGGACCCTCTTTTTGAATAACCGGTTGTTTAAATACTGCACTATTTTATATTTTCTGATCTATTTTTAGAAAAAACCAAGGGTACAAGTCGCTTATAATATGTGAGTCTTACCACATGCCAATTTATAATCATAAATTAATTGGTGCATCTATATGTATTGATCGCATTTATTTTCATGTTAATTTTTTTGATGAAGTGATATAATTCGAAGAAATCACTAAAAACTGGAGTTGTCATGCAACTACTCAGTCCCTTTATTAATTCTAAAGTGTTCTGTTTTGAATCCCACAAGTCCAAATTCAGTACCATCATATTTTTCGAAAATAACATGTGTATTAATCATATTATATTCTAGGATTTATTCGGTGTATGCATTTGGCAATGGGAACCTTCATATTAATATGAAAAAACCCAAAGGTTCCTAGTTTTCTGCATAGGGTTTGATTGATGATCGTTGCTGTGATCCTACAGACTAGGATTAAACTTATATTTCTTCCTTAATGGACGGACTATCATGTTTATCTCGCATCTTTAAGAGGTAAATTTCTGTACGTGTTCTCACTTATTTAATACATACAAAATCTGGTACAAATGGGCATCAAAAACAGCATACACCACATAACACACAAATATAACGTTTCAAAGAAGAAAGGAAAGAGAATACAACCAGGATAAAAAACACTAGTGATACTACCCCTAACTGTCCAGATCGAAGTAGGTATTTGGGGTGGATGTTCTAAGCTTCGACTGAAGGCTATCCAATGGTGTTTTAACAAGTAATACAGCGCTCCATGTCTATATCAAAAATCATCACCAAATTTTACAACTAAATCAAATAAATATCCATAAGATTGTAAAACATTATTCTATCAAACACAGAGATCACTAATTACCTATGAGAATAAAAAATCTCACTTGTTACTCTCATCTTTGTCTTCAATAATTAATCTAATCATATTGATAAACTATTTATCACTTCATTCCTAGATATTTAATAAAGCTAATAATAATAATAAAATAAATAAACTATGGAACTTTAGCAAGCTAACATACTAAAAAAACAAGGGAAGTTTTCGAATTGGTCTAGCACACCATTGAATAATATCAGAAGGGTTTTTATGGATGTTATAGTAATTTCAATAGTTGAGATCATGAGTTAATTGAAGCTAGACCACCATGGAAAACCTGGAAGCACTGGTCGGCTGTTTAGTCCTATTATGGGACTCCTCACCAGTGCACATCCAAGACCCCACCTCGCAGGACCTATCAGTGCTTTCAGGTTTTCCATGGTGGTCTAGCTTCAGTTGACTCGTGATCTCGACCACTGAAATTACTACAATCTTGACAACTCAACATATTCTCACTAGTGACTGGCGTCAAGATGTATATCCTGGAGTTCTAGTGAGAAGCAGTGACCAGTGGAGTTCAACTGGGTCAGTGGTGAGATAGTAACTCACTGATGACAATAGTGGATGTGTCGGCCGATTTCGTGGATTTGTTATTTTAGACATTAGCGCCGTTGAATACCGGCCGTCTCAGTGGTCTAGTAGTTAGGCGCCCACGTGCGAGACTGATAGGTCCTGGGTTTGAATCTCTCGAGGCGGGATCATGGCTGCGTACTGCAAAGGAGTCCCACAATAGGACGAAACAGCCATCCAGTACTTCCATGTTTTCCACGATGGTCTAGCTTCAATTGACTCATGATCTCGACCGCTGAAATTGCTACAATCTCCACAAAACCCCTTCTGATTAGAAAGTTTGTTCAATAAATGTTCATCTAAATTTCAGTGTTCATTCTTCCAACTATATTATATTTTGTTTTCATTTTTTCAAAAAAAATAACTATTCATTAACTATAGTGAAGACGAGCCAATAGCTGCACGTTTACGACGTAAAACACGTGTCTCTTATACGGGAACAAAAACTTCAATGTAAGTTTTCATTATTGTTGATTTAAACATTAGTATTACACGTTTCCAATGTTATGTAGACATTTATGTGCATTGATACTAGAAGTTGTATACAAGTTAAGTTTTCTCAAAGGTATACTCTAGAAAAACTTCTGATATTATACTATTGTGATGTATGCTACTGATGTCAATAGATATAAGTAGTATTTACCACCAATCGAAAGTCGAATGTCTGGAGGCAGAAGATTAAGATCGAAGAGAATGAGAACAGAGGGTGATTGGTGTAGAACAAAGAAACAATTTAGTCTGAGACAATTGTGTGATATTTTGTAAGTGAAGTATTTACTATATGGTTCTCAGTTTCTGCTAAGACATTCTGTAATTTTGTGTTCAAACACATTTGGTTGTGCCCCACTGGTGTTCTCGTTCACTACACTGTGATACCATGTTCTGTTTGGGCGTCCGGGCGGTATTCCATCCCTCACACAAATCGAACCATTTGTGTGGCGCATATATATTTAATGCCTCCATATACCAATGTTTGTGTTTAAGTAAGTACATGCTCAGTTCTGAAGTTATGTATGTAGTAATAGTGTGATATTTCCCTCTATAAATCAGCGTTTCCTACTGTTTAATTTTCACGGTTTCAAAAGAAGTAGTAGTGTAGTGAACGCGAACTCAGGTCTAATGCACAATTATACAGTTGCTAAGCAAAATATGGAAATTATACATTAAGTACATCATTTGCACATCTTTGCAATGTCCTTTACATACTTCATTATTCTTCTGATTCTGCTGTTATCTCGGTTGCTGTCCGATTTCCTTATTTTTCTCTTCATTTCAATCTTCTGTTGGCAGATATTCCCTTTCCGACTGCTGCTACATACTACTTATGTCTGCCAACATATGTAGCATACACTACTGTAATAACGAAGAAAAGAATTATTAATACACTTGACCAGGTTAACACATTTTATAGACTCTAGAATCTAAATGCCTACTTAATCTTATGAACAAACAAACATTAAATAAAGTCAATACTTTTTAGTTGCCTATTTTAATCAATGGTAGTATTTCTCGACCTTAAGGCGGCATTCGACTCTGTTGATCGTAAGGTTCTATGGCAGTGTTTGTCACTGAAAGGAGTACCAAAGAAGTACATTAACCTTATAAAGGCTCTCTACTCGAACACAACTGGTAGAGTGAGAGCTTATGGCGAACTGTCATCAGAATTGATTACCTCAAGTGGTGTTCGTCAGGGCTGTCCACTCTCCCCATTCTTGTTCAACTTTGTGGTCGACGTACTTTTAGAGATAACACTCTCCTCATCTAAATTTCCGGGGGTTGAACTTCTACCGGGAGGTTCACTTGTTGACTTAGAATATGCAGATGACATAGTTTTATTTGGTGAAGACGCTGACAAAATGCAGAGTCTTCTGACCACTCTAAGCAACAATGCAAGCATGTTCGGGATGCGATTCTCTCCCTCGAAATGCAAAATGTTGCTTCAGGATTGGGTTACTTCGACACCCGAACTAGTGATAGGGAGTGAAGTAGTTGAGTGTGTCGACCGCTTCACTTATCTTGGAAGTCTCATCAGCCCTTGTGGTCTGGTGTGTGACGAAATCTCAGCACGGATACAGAAGGCTCGACTAGCTTTTGCCAACTTGCGTCATTTATGGCGTAGGCGAGATATCCGTCTATCGACCAAAGGACGTGTTTACTGCGCAGCAGTTCGTTCCGTCCTACTTTATGGCTGTGAAACATGGCCGGTAAGAGTAGAGGATATTCGTAGGTTACTAGTATTTGATCATAGGTGTCTTCGAAGTATTGCTCGTATATCCTGGGACCACCGAGTAAGTAACGCAACTGTTAGGAAACGGGTACTAGGTAAGGATGGCAAATCAATTGATGAAGTAGTGAAACTTCATCAGTTGAGATGGCTGGGACACGTGTTACGTATGCCCAACCACCGACTACCTCGACGTGCTATATTCAGTGGTATAGGAGTAGGTTGGAAGAAAGCTAGGGGCGGCCAGACCAAAACATGGCACAAATCCATGAAGTCACTGACAAGTGGACTGAGTCATGTTGGTAGGTGTAGACTACCTGGTTGGGGACCGCGAGATGATAGCAACCGATGGTTAGAGACCCTGAATGACATGGCTCAAAATCGTTTGCAATGGCGCAAGTGCATCCACTCTCTATGTTCTCCCAAATGCTAATTATCTGAATTCTTCATGCCCCTTTTTTTCCTCTTTCCAAATTTATTGCACTGGATTTTACTCGTTAAATAACATTTCCAAACCCTAATCTTCCCGATTACTGCTTATACTCTTGCTACCTCTACCACTACGGGATTTGAATCGACCACTGCATCTCTGTGTGCTAATGTGGTATGGCAACTCGAACTGATGTACGTACGTACTAAGTTCTACGTTGTTACTGACTGACTGATTTTAATCAACCGAACTGCCATACACAATAGCTTTGGTCATTATTTTTTAAAATACTGTTATTCTTTTCTTCTATAAAGAAATCTGTCATAAATTTATTTTATCAGAATGCTATTTCACATTGGTTTAGTTAGTATGTCAGTTAGATACAACGTAGGACCAGGCACACATACGCATCGGTCCAAGTTGCTATATCTCATTAGCACAACAAAATGAACATCGGATTCATAGAAGTAGTTAATTCAGTGGTGGTAATATATCAAAGAAAGACTGAATGTAAGGATATAGTACAAGAAGAAAGAATTAGTTCGTATAAAGAAAGATGTGAAGCGATTTTAATCTCTTAGTTTAAGGGAAGATAGAGAGTGTATACACCGACATCATTGTGATCGATTCTGAGCCATATCACTCAGAGTGTACAATCATTGGTTACGATAGTTAATATGTAGTAACTTTCAAATATATGTACACTGATATATCTATCATTAAGTGGAAATTGTTTGTTACATATTATCATATAAATATTCAATGTAGTCTTTTTCATAATAAATGTTTTAATTTGGTAATATTATAAATAGTATATTCCTAAAATTGTCATAAATAATCATTAGAAACTTGTTATGCTTGTATGATTTTGATATGATTGAAAAGATTTATAAGTCAGGTAGATAATTTCAATGAAGTTTTGTTATCTAAGCTGGGTGATTTATGATAAGTTTTCCAACTGTATACTTGAATCAGTTTCCTAAATTTTTTTTATAACCCCAGACTAAAATGTACACATTTATTATTTATTTATTTAAACACATGAATATTGGTACAAGGAGGTACCAAATAGTTATGCGCCACATAAATCATTCGATTTGTATGAAGGTTGGAATACTGCCCGGGTTCCCGAACTGAAGCAGGTGGTTTTCTTAGGGGGCCACACCCCGAGCCTTCGACCTAAAGGTCTGATCCACAGGGCAGTGGAGCATCGTAAGGAGATGCAGTTGCATGGTAGCTGGTGACTAACGATTGGTTCATACGACATTTTCCCTTCAGGATACTGGAGCCTATTTGCACCATTAGTTTGTAATCACGTTGTTGAACTCCCCTAGGTAGACTCTGTATCCATCGACCCGGTTAGAGCTCCGGACATTGGCTTTTCGTCCCCTGAATTTCCTAAACAACAGTAATGCCGCGAGAAGGCAGTGAATAGGACTTCCCTGTTAGTGGTTGTATGTATATGGCCATGTGAGATCATTTGAAGCAGGAGAGCTGACTCCTTACCCTCGGCCCTACCAGGGCATCTGGGGGCCACGAGAGAAAATGCGCAGTGTGGAAAGAATGCTTTGCTCCAAGATTATTTATGCACAGGAAATCGTGGGTATTCATAGTATTTCAGATTGCCTTGTGTTTCTGGTAGTTTCTGGATCCACCATACTGAACATTGTATCAGTATAGGCAATTATCCAATCAGAAGTATGACATGCAATTTTTCACTTACTAGATGTTTTTGAGAAATTTCTATTCAACTCTGATTAGATAAAATATTTCCCAGTGTTTACAGTGCCCATTTCTTGAGAAATACATTTGATCTCCTTAACACCTTTCTTCTTTTACAAAATAAAACTTCATCTTAAGATCTAATTGCTATATCCACTTGATAAAGTTCACTTTTACTACCCTAATATACTGATGATTGTTGATTCAATAATATAATGAATTTTACATGATTAAACTATCAAGTTTAGGGATAAAAAACTTCATTCAAACATTATTTTGTTCATTTTTAAAAAAAACTTTATAACTAAACCAACTTAATTCTGTTATTCTTTTCATTAATTTATATTTAGGTAAATAATGGTATATAACCACATATATTCTGTACAAAGTACTTTGGAATCATACATTTATCTCTATTCAATAGTTATCTTGTCATTTCAAATTGCAATGTTTACATTTTCCTTTCTCCATGTATCTATTTACATTTGTAGTTATAACTAAGTATCTTGAATGAATTATACTACTTATAGGTTAATTTTGTTATATTCATTCCATTCCATTCATTTCTTCTCTTCAATTATTATTTCTCTTTTCTTGAATGTATACTTTTGCATAGATTTGCTTTTGTACTTTCTTTTTCTTCTCAATTTTACAATAGGATAAAAATATACTATTTTTTTCAACATAATGTTTTCCATTTACATTCGGTTTATACAGAGAGGTAAGTTTTGTTGTGTTTGTCTGTGAGAGAGAGAGAGAGCGGAAGAGAGGGAAGAAATTGTTCTGATCTGTTTAAGATTTTTATTTCAGTAGTTGGAATCATGAGTCAATTGAAGCTAGACCACCATGGAAAACCTGGAAGTACTGGTCGGCCGTCTCGTCGTGGTATAAGACTCTTCAACAGTGCGCGTCCACAATCCCGCCCCCCCGCGGGAGGGACCGACTTCAAGAGGCATTTCCTGGAGTTCTAGTGAGAAGCTGTTACCAGTGAAGCTCAACCACGTTTGTTGTGAGATATCAACTTACTGAAGACAATGGTGTACGGTGGAGCAATTTCGTGGATTGATTGAAGTTAGACATTAACACCGTTGGATGCCGGCCAGCTCAGTGGTCTGACGGTTCAGGGCTCGCGCCCTTAACTGACAGGTCCTGAGTTCGAATTTCGCGGGGCGGGATCATGGATGCGTACTGTTGAGGAGTTCCATACTAGGACGAAACGGCCATCCAGTGCTTCGAGGTTTTCTATGGTGGTCTAGCTTCAATTGACTCGTGATTTCAATGATTGAAATTTCTAAAATCTCCACAAAATCCCTTCTGATTTTAGATTTTTACCATCAGAAAAAAAACTCGATTTATTTCAGTGTAGTATTTCTTCTGTTTACAATTGTTTGGTCACAAATGTCATGTTTTGCTAGTCTGATTTTACTACTGACAGAATTTTACTGATCAAGTTACGATGTAGTCACCCGTTCAAGTGCATGCAATGTCAAGTCACTGTGTTGAGATGTAAGGCGGTTGAAGGTAGTCTACAAGAAACCCTGGTTTCATAATGTTCTCCTGTCTTCACCAAGATGTTGTAATCTTGAGGGAACTGATGTTTCTTGGCAGATCCAGTCCTGTATCACTCAGTTTCAAAATCGGAGACATTTCTACTGGGCTGCTCGAACTTTGAATAACCAACTATAAGAACAAAATGTGTATCCTCAGGTTTATAAGTACACTTTGTTAATGAATTCCAAATAGCAAAAACCTCATATTCATGGTCTCCTGTCGATTACTTTGATTCACCTGACACAGCTGCCATTCGTTGTCTGGTTATTAATGCGTCTCACTTGTCTCAGATGGAAATCATGAGAATGAATCAATAACTAATAGAGCACAAGTGATAATCGTGTAACAACCTTATTAAAACTGTGGGTCGTGTTTGTGTGTTGTTATTTGAAAACCGTTGGATAAATTACATTCTCATTCACAATTTTGACCCTGCATCTGGAAATCAACCAAAATGAAGCGGGAATTATTATTTACACTCTTGTAATTCACTATTCGTCGTTTTTCCTGGCTTACATGAAAAATGTAAAGTTTTCTACGGCGAAACTAATACTCAAACATGCTACGAAGGTATTCAATGTTTTATAGTCGGTCGTGACGGAAGAAAAATCACAGTATGGCGAAAGTCATATTGACGCCTGTCAACCCTCGTGGAGGAGCATAGGCCGTCCACCAGTATTCTCCGTTCATCCTTTCCAGTCCCTATTCATCGTTTTGACGTCTGCTTCCGATTCCCGATATAGTGCGTTCTTCGGTCTCCCTCTTTTTCATTTCCCATCAGCATTCCAGATAAGTGCTTAGCAAAAGACATACCTCCAATTAATTCTATCATAGACATTATCCCGAATTATCTACAATTGATTGACCAAGTAATTGAAAGCATAATCGCAGTTAACGACTAAGTTACACTTAAATGACTTGGAGATGTAAAGTCTATCTCCAGCTCTAAATGACTGGTCGTTTGTCTGGAGTAAAGAAGTTGACCGTGTTTTCAACTATTTGGCATTGATACATGCTACCTAATTACAATAAGTAGTATAAAATGAAATACAAAACATTTGTAGTAGAATTCAAGTTGTTACAAATTGTAAATCAATGTAACGTACCAAGTAGCTAAAGGTTCTTTAGGATTCAAAACAAAAAGGAATTGAATAACTGAATTTATAAAAATCAGGGTACTTTTGTTAATTATTGGTTCTATTTCAGACTAACATTGCTATAAACTTGTAACGAGTGTAGACAACGAAGCAAAACCTTGTGCGCGATTGTTTGTTTGACCGTGGAAAAAGACTTGAGAATACTTAGCAACAGTTGCTTATGTGTTGGATTTCACAATATGAAACAACAGGGAATGAGCTACAGTGAAGTTTACTTTCCATTTGTTAATAAGACACAACAACATGAAGTTTCCAATAAGTAGAGTAGCCTATCCACTCAGCTACTTCACTTTCTATCGTTAGACTAGGTATTGACGTAGATCAGTTCTAAAGAAGTATTTTATATACAGTAGAGGAGAGAGGCAACCTAAAAACTTTCATTGTCATTTAAGGTGCTCAAAAGTCTTTTATGTCTGTATATTCTAGGTAGGTTAATGAGTCGTCATGTAGTAGATCAGACCCTAACAAAGTGATTTGTTTTGTGACATATCTATAGCAAAACTTGATAAAATGATAGAGAGCAACTCTGTCTTATCTTCCCAACATATCACATTAGAACCATGAAGCAAAAAATATTCCAACCGAAATAGGTCTATTAGCTCATCATGATAGTCAAGTTCAATTATCGCGTCAAGGTAGTTAAGGTGGATGGATGTTCCTCACTGTGAATTTGCGTCATATTTCTTAATCAATCATTAATACTCTAACTGCTACTTTTTACAATGGTCATTATTTAAAAAGGTTTCACAAGCTAGTAGCTTTTAGAGAAATCCGTATTTTACAAGTGAGTTTTTTTTTATGCCGGTGAGTGTTGAGACAGTTAACTATCTTCACTTCATATTCAGAAAAGCAGTCATTTTAATAACTGGTCAGTAGTAATTGGAATTAAATTAGCCTATAATTACATCACATAGCAGCTATTTTCATTAATTTAAAATGTTTATTCCAGTTAAAAACTGCACGTAAAATCACCAAATTAACTCAGGTGAAATGTTTTAGTCTATCAATAGGAGGATTATAAGCAAAGTTGAATGGTGACTGGCAGTGGAATTTGGGACGCTAGTTTCGTCCTGTTTGTAACTTGTCAGCATCCCGGAGTTGTTGTTCACTTCGGGACTTGAGACTGATCAACATGAATGGGAAGATTCAGACAAACAATACAAAAATGTATCAATAGTAGGGTTTCTTAAAATCATACTGTTAGGGACGATAGATCCCCAAACTCATATTTTTTAAATTTTATCTTATCGATCAACTTATCGATTAAATGTTTAAACATTTGTATTGGGGTCAATTGATGAACTGATCAATTAAATGTTTGTATAGCAGTCAGTTGATGAACTATCGATTAAATGGGCAAATAGGTCAATTGATGAACTATCGATTAAATGTGAAAATAGGTCAATCTATGAACTTGTTGATTAGTGTTTACAATTTTTCTATGACAATATCGATTGTAAATATTGTATAAATACGAGTGAGTTGTGTGTTTGACTTGACTTGTTATCTGCTGTGTGTCTGCAGAATACACTTCTACACCTTACCCAGACTTCTTGATCGAGTTAGCAGAGTTGGGGGACAACGAACCAGAATAGCTATCGAGTCGCTGAGTTACTGATCCTTCGTTCATTGAGTAAGACGCATCAGTAATAGCATTCAAGCGAATAACAAATCATAACACATACAAATAAATTAAGTCAGATTGCGTTTATAACGTCATTAAATAAGGCTACGATTTTGTAGAATTAAGATTCTCACATCACATTTGTACTATCGTAATTTAGTTCAAGGATGAATTATTATTTTCTGGTTAGCGTTTTCTTAGCGAGTTAGTTTTCTACGGGATGAAGTTGCTAACCCAGTGCCAAAGCTTCCTCCTTTATCCAGGCTTGGGACCGGCAGTAGCTTCAGAGGGGCTCCAGGCTGAGTTTAAGGCAGTTTACTCATAAACCAAATCAAACAGTATATAATTTAACTCTGAAGTCTAAATAATATGAAATCTAATTGTCTGAAATGCTTGTTGTAGTAACTTGTGGGCTTGTGTCCCTATCAATGTATAAAGTGATGATACAGCCAATTAGAGAACAGTGAATTATAGACCGGACCAATGATGCATAAAACCCGTTCGAGCAGTCTAGAGTCTCAATCAGATCTTCTTTAGCCCTGCCTGTTAAGTTCGGAATAGCAATCTCAGCTCCCGCGATATAAATCATTTATTTAAAACGTACTGGGTTTATATACCAACCAAACAGACCACATCGTACCATAAAATAGGTAACAACATTTATGCAAGATATAGCCAAAAGTGGCTGTGAATAGGGGCGATAGTGACATAACTCAAGAATGGTAAATCGTATATTAATAGTCTATGGGTTAAAATAAAGCTTATAATAAGAGGGACTTGATTATGAATAGTTTAATTACATGACAATTATACGACAAAAATATACGTTTAGCATTAGTTTATAAATGGATCCCAAAAGTTACCACTTATTATTCTCATCGGGACATAACACTTATAGAAACGGACAAATTTCCTGTCAAATATATAGTAAATAAAATACCATTACATTATTACTATATGGCAAATGAATGAAAATCAACTTGGTGTATACGTCAAAATGATTAACTTCTGTTGAATATTTTACTATTATGGGATCTATTTGAAGATTATCTTAACTGAAAGACCCTTTACGTCTATCATTTTATTATTAACTCAAGAAATCAATAAGAATGAAAATTTTATTCATATGGAAAATATGACCTGATTTACTTTATCACTCTTATGTAATAATTATTGAACAAGAAAGGAATCCATGTCCGGTAGAGGCAGGTATCTACCTCAGTACAATGGGAGATGGTCGCGCAATTTCGTGGATTGGTTGATGTTAGGTACTATCATCATTGGATACCGGCTCAGTGGTCCGGTAGGTTAAGCGTTCGTACGCGAGAT